GCCACCCTTATGATGTGTACTGTCCAGGCTATGCAGGGTGCCGTGTTTATGTACACCAATCTGAAGGGCCTGGTCCAGAGTCCAGCAGGGGCCTCTGAGATCTCCACTGTCTTTGCTGCTTAACCTGTGAGCTCAGCTGCCTCCCATGGGGCAGGGATCGCAGAAGTGGCTCAGCCCACCTCCCACCTCTGGTGCTAGAGGAAGCTGGCACACAGTCTGCTGCCAAGCAAGAGCACTACTGAACAGGTGAGGGGTCAGGTCAGGTGAACAGGTGAGGTGACCAAGTAAGGTGAATTGAGATGATCAAGTGAGATGACCAGCTGAGCAGGTGAACTGGGGTGAAAGTTAAATCATCTCTAAATCTTCAGTTTTTTTTCCAAAACAAAAAACAGTGTCCTTGTTTCATTACAGAAAGAAAATAAAAACAGCTTGGTTGGGGTATGCTCCTTTTTGTTTTTTGTGAAAAAAAATCGTGTGTCAATGTTCACAGGGTGATTTTATCTCATTGTTTGGCTTGCAGAGGTTTGATTTACTCTCGATAGAAAGGGAACAGAAAAAAGTCCGAGCAATTGGAGGGGTCGCCATCCTTCTAGATCCCACCTACTATCTGAGTGGCTCTAACAGACAGACCAGTCAGCCATGTCCTGGAGCTGAGCTCTGTGTCCCCGGGCCTCTTGCCCACCAGCTGAGGGCCTTGGGGACTTGAAGCGTCAGCTGGAGATGAGTGTGTGTGTAATTGTTGATAGCCAATAGACGGGTGGAGGTGCCATCAAGGGTTAGAGGGCCAAGGGGGTAGTGCCAGGGCAAACAGCTTGACAGAGGACAGACAAACGGAAGAGCTGTGTTCCTAGCAGCCACTGTGTAATTTGTGACAATGGTGGTGATCAGAGACAGGGCTTTTCCTGCATGACTTCTATTTTCTTTTGTTTTCGTTCATACATATGCATAAAGCAGACATTCACAACCTTAGAGAAATAACCTGGACGCATGCTTGCTTCTCAGCAAGACCCTGGTTAGCCCCTGCTGGGTGGGCATTGTCACCCCTTCTTTCCTGACATCAGGCCATACACAGTTGCACATGGAGCAGTAGGTAGTGTGCATCCTACAGATAGTTCCTATAAGGCTGCAGGACTCAGCCTCCACGACCCGAGGCCAGAAGAACTAGATGGTGTCCAGCTACCATTGCTAACCACTGTGAAAAGGATTAGAATAGGAGGTCCCAGATAGAGTGAGAGGAAAATATGGAACAAAACTCAAAATCATAAAAAAAAGACTAGGCTTACTGGTCTGATAGAGACTGGTGGAACCCCAAGACTGTGGCCCTTAGACACCCTTCAAGCCTGAAACTAGTCACCCCTGTGACTCAGCTTTCAACCAAATGATAGGCCAGTAAGGTGAACTGTAACATCAGGGAGGTACATACTCCTTAGGGAACAACCAGTCATATGAGATCAAGAGGGCAGCATGTGCCCGGGGGTAAAACTCAGAAGGGAGGGAAAGGACAAAAGGAGACGGTAAACGCACAGGGAGGAGGCGGGAAGAGGCTGTTACATCGTGGGGACTGCAGTCAGTGTCACAAAACAGAATGTGTTTGAATTGTCAGCTCTCACCCAAATCACAAACAAAAGCGAAAATCCTGTGAGATCAGTTCCAGAATTGAAACTTGTCAATGGAAGGATGCTCACTTTTTCAGTGTTAACAGGCTTTCTAATCCTGCACCCCAAAACTGTATCAGCCCATACCTGTGAGGAGTCAGTGAGAAAAAGGCACAGGTATTTTGTAATCATGCAAATTATTTCTATCTAACCTCATGGCTAGGCTCTCAAGTGTTTGCTGCTAAACAGACGAATGAAAAAATGCCATGCACACATGCACATGTGTGGAGAAAGTGTATGTGAGACAATGTGTATGTGAACTGTTGTATGGAAAGTGAATTTGCTCTGTAAACTTTCACCCAAATCCCAATTTAAAAAAAAAATGGGGTCTCCAAAACAAAGCTCCCTGATAAAGGGCCATTTTCCTTTCATTTTTCAGAAAGAGGAACTGAAGGTAACCTTAAACGATGGGTGTTCCTGGTATGAGGGAAGTGCAGCGTGCCAGGCTCTGCAGCCCAAAGAGGCCACAGGGCCAGGATGTGCTGACACCAAGAGCAGCCAGCAGTGACAGACAGTGAAGTGCTTGTGCAAAGAATTAGGGCTGATACTGAGAGGTTTGAGGAGACAGTCTGAGGGTGTATTCTGGTATCATGGGGATGCCCAGATGTCCCCATTCCATAAACAGGTTATAGAGAATGCAAGAAAACACACATAAAGAAAAACCACCTTTGAGCTTGATTCATATTTTGGTGTGTTACTTTCTGGGCTAATGTCTGGTTTCTATCTCTTCAACCAAAGCTTGAAAAAGAAATACTGATAAAAGTGAGATGATGCAAAAAGAACCCACACGTTTGATGTCTGTCTCAGGCGAAACAGGCTAGAGGGTCACAGAGGGGCCCCGATACTGCACAGGAGCCCCAGATGCAGTGAGCGCGCACAGCGTCTGCAATGACCCACACTTGTTCTTCGGTGCCGTCAAGCTGGTTCTGACCCATAGTGACACTACGTGCAACGGAACAAAACATTGTCCGGTCCTGCAGCGCACATCAGCAACAGCTAAAACGTGATCACAGTACATCCATAAATAATGCTATAAAGCCCCCAACAATCATATCTTCAGTGCCTTTGAATAACATTTAGGTGTTCTTAATGTCCTATTTCTACTAATAACAAATTACTACAAACTTTTTTTGCTTTTCTACCCCCTCTCCATGTCCCCCACATACATAGACACATCATACATACCTGAGAAAATTAAACTGAGCTGACAAATAGTTTTTTCATCTGCCTTATTCACCTAGCATTATATCTTGAACTTTCCATGGTTAGCAGACTACTGGCCCCAAAAATGTTTATGTCCTAAGTCCTGGAACCTGTGATTATGGTAACTTATGTGCAGAAGGGATTTGAGGTTGCTACTCAGCTCACCTGACGATCGAGAGATTGTCCTAAATCATGGTCACAGGGGCCTTAAAAGTGGACGAGGGCAGAAGGAGGAGGTCAGGTTGATGTGGTGTGAGAAGGACTTGACCTGCTAGTACTGGCTGTGAAGATAGCAGAAGGCCATGAGCCAAGGAATGCAAGGCAGCTTCTAGAAGCCAGTGAAGGCAAAGAAATGGATTCCTTCCTCCAGAAAGGAATGCAGCCCTGCAGACACTTTAATTTTAGCCCAGTGAGACCCATGTCTCAGGAACTGTCAGAGAATAAATCCGTGTTGTTTTAAGCCACCAAGTTTGTAGTAATTTGTTACAGTAGAAATAATACACTAAGAACACCTATAATGTTATTAAAAGTCCCTGAAGATATGATTGTTGGGGGCTTTATAGCATTATTTATGGATGTACTGTGATCACATGTTTTAGCTGTTGCTGGTGGGGGCTGCAGGACTGGGCAGTGTTCGGTTCCGTTGCACGTAGTGTCACTATGGGTCAGACCCAACTTGACGGCACCGAAGAACAAGTGTGGGTCATTGCAGATGCTGTGCGCGCTCACTGCATCCGGGGCTCCTGTGCAGGGGTCGGGGCCCCCTCTGTGACCCTCAGCCTGTTCTGCCTGAGATGTAAACCAAGTGTGCGGGTTCTTTTTGCATCATCTCACTTTTCTCAGTATTGCTTTTTCAAGCTTTGGTTGAGAAACGGGACGTCTTGGAGAAGTTAGGCTGCTGATCTGTATCAGTATCAATATCAGCTTTGTGGTCAGATCTGCTGGGGCTTTTCTTTAGTCCAGAGCTCTGGTATAAGGTTTGTGGCATGTTTACTAGTTGCTGAAGTAGGTATTCTAAGGAAATTCCTACCAGGGTATCTCCTGAGTACCTTCCCTTTTGACTAGGGAGTTTTTGACAGAAAAGTTTAATCAGTACATACCAAAAAAAAAAAAAAAAAAAAAACTATATAGGGAACAACAAAATAAGTGACTAATGACTGTAAATATATAATATGATTAAACTGTAATTTTATTTGGGCACTTCAGTGAGTACCATATTTTTCTCATATAATGTGCCTTTGTAATAATAAGTACACATCACAGCGTGCATAGAAAACTTAACATGGAAGGAGGTTGTGTGGTTTGCAAAAAACTGTGTAACGCATGTGTTATTTGTGTAAAAACATGGTAGTTGATAGTATTAATGAAACATTTCACACTTAGTTTTTCCACGAAAGTCCAAACTACATCTCTATCATCACCTTCCTCCCTTCCTCCCAGCCCCTGTCTCCTCGGGAACCTGCATCATCCACCTGTCCCCTCATCTGGCTCCTTCTGTGGCAGACATTTTCACTATCACTAGAAAAGCCACTCCACATAAGGCAGGCCAGGCAGTCTACTTTTGTAAAGATTTACCACCTCAGAAACCCAATGGAGGTTGCTATGAGTCAGAATGGACTCAATGTTAGTGAGGTTTTTTTTTTTTTTTTTTCAGAGAAGCAAACCAAACACAGACACCCACAAAACCACCCTCCCTGGGTCAGACCCTTGCCACATCCTGTCCTGTGCTGCATATACTGTGGAGCTTCCTAGTCTACTTTGCACCCCTCACAGCTGTTTTATATAGGCTGGTGGCGCTCTCCTAACAGCTCTACCCATGCTATTCAACCCTTTGTGACTTTTTCTGTTCCTTCTGTGACTTTCCTGATAACCTGTTCAGTGTTCTTTCCCAACCCTTACATACTAGTGGAGTTTTGCCCACATGGCTTCCGAAGTTGCAGTCTTGCCTCTCCATCCCATTGGACTCTGTGCCACTTGGACCAGTGTGATAGCGGGTTACTCAGTGTCTGTTACCAAATTTGGTAGTAAATGAAGTAATCTTTGCCCCTGAAACTGTTCAGACATGACGCCAGGGCCAGTGTTTGTTGCATTTCATTTTCTCTCCAGAAAAAAAATACTGATTTATTCATCTCTCTTATCTAGTGCTAAGCATTCGTGGCATTCAGGAAGAGGACCCCCCGGATGCTCAGCTCATGAGGCTAAATAACATGCTGCTGGCTGAGGGCGTCTCCAAGCCGGAGAGGAGAGGAAGAAGAGGACCGGCAGTGGCCGGCACAGCGACACCAGGTGGCTGTCCAAATGACAATAGCATTGAGCACTCTGACTACAGGGCCAAGCTGTCCCAGATCCGACAGATATACCACTCTGAGCTAGAGAAATATGAACAGGTGATCTTTCTGCGCCGAAGACTTTCTGTCATGTGAATGCGCATTTGTCAAAGCAAACCGGGACGACTCAGCGCCTTTATTTTGCGGCACAGAGCAGGGAGCCCTCGCCATAGGCCTAGCCACAAAGATGGCAGGTCTTCCTGAGAGCCCTTTTCATTACTTCCCAGCCTGTGTGTGAGCCACCAGGGAGCGGGCAGGTGGCTGCTCTGTGGAGCTGCTGCCCCATGCCACCCTGCTGGTTGATCACAGGCTGGCTATCTGTGTCCCCCATCCCAGGCCTGCCATGAGTTCACCACACACGTCACCAATCTCCTCTGGGAACAGAGCAGGATACGGCCAGTCTCCCCCAATGAGATCGAGCACATGGTCAGCGTCATCCATAGCAAGTTCAGAGCCATTCAGATGCAGCTGAAGCAGAGCACATGCGAGGCCCTGATGACCCTGCGCTCGCGGTTCCTTGATGCCAGGTCAGGCCCCACACCCTCGCCTGGGCTCCTCTAGGGCCAGCTCTCAGGAAGATGAATGGAATTGGATAGCGCCAGGGACCTCTGGTAGCATAGTGCCTAAAGCACTTGACTGCTAACCAGAAGACTGGCGGTTCAAACCCACCAGCCACTCCTTGGAAGGAAGATTGGGCAATCTATTTCCGTAGTGATACTGCCTCGGAAACCCAAGGAGAGGTCGCTATGAGTCGGGGCCAAGTTGACAGCACACAACAACAACAATAACAACAACAACAGGGACCTGTGAGCCTGTGCAGGGGCTCTGGCCACTGACATAATTGTAGACCTGACACATCCTCTTTTGTGTAATGATCCCCTACATCTCTGGCCAGTGTTTTGAAGTGTTGCTTGCTGCTGAGGGGTGGGGGGATGTTGATATGAACACTGGCTGGTCCATCTGTCTTTGCAGGCGTAAGCGGCGGAATTTCAGCAAGCAGGCCACGGAAGTGCTGAATGAGTATTTTTATTCCCATTTGAACAACCCTTATCCCAGTGAAGAAGCCAAAGAGGAGTTGGCCAAGAAGGGCGGCATCACGGTCTCCCAGGTGATGGTCCTCCCCTGCCATGCCTCCTTCCTGCCAGCTGTACCTGGAAGTAGAGGAGGGTTAGGTCCAATGAGGACACCCAGGGATTAACTAAATGTGTGGACAGATGGAGCAGGAACTGAGTGTGCAGGCCCAGAGACAGCCAGGCTGGGCTCAGATCCTGGCACTGCACTCTGGGCTCTGTGGGCTCCCTCCTCCCCAGTCTGATACAGGAATGGAGGCAAGTGCATGGACCAGGAAGCCATGACTAGGCATACCCTCAGATGATGTATGTGCAGAGTAAGTACCCCTAGAGTATATGTCATGCGTGTGGAACATGAAGCCCCCCTGAGGTGTGTGTGGAGTGTGAGTGCCCCTGAGGGGATGCGTGTGGAGCGTGAGGATTCCCTGAGGAGGTGTGTGGGGGTTGTGAAACCTCCCTGAGGAAATGCATGTGGAGTATTGTTCTCCACAAGTCAAGCTTTCCCCAGGAATGGTTCCATTGCCGTCAAGTCATTTCAACTCATAGCAGCTCTCAAGGACAGAGTAGATCTGCCCCATAGGGTTTCTAAGGCTATAATCTTACGAAAGCAGACTGCCATATCTTTCTCCTGCAGAACAGCTGGTGGGTTCAAACCTCTGACCCTTCTGTTAGCAGCTGAGCACTTAACCACTGAACCACCAGGGCTCCCTTGGAACATCCTGTTGTTGTTGTTGTTGTTGTTGTTGTAGGTGGTGATGGTGGTGGTGGTGATGGTGGTGATGGTGGGTGCTGTCAAGTCAGTTCTGACTTACAGTAACCCTATGAATGGAACAACCCTACAAATCAAAACACTGCCCAGTTTCATCAGGTTTGCAGTGGCCAGTATTTCAGAAATGGACTGCCACATCCTCTGTCTTAGTCTAGAAGCTCCACTGAAACCCGTCCACCATGGGTGACCCTGCTGGTATTTGAAATACCTATGGCATAGTTTCCAGGATCACAACAACACACAAGCTACCACCGTCTGACAAACTGACAGACGAGTAGTAGTGGGACCTTGTTCTGGTTACCTAATGCCGCTCTGACAAGAATATACCACAAATGGGATGGCCTTAACAAACAGGAGTTTATTCTCTTACAGTTTGGAATTCAAAGTTCAAGTTCAAAGTGCCAGGCTCTGGGGGCTGTGTGAAAGCCCCTCGGCCTTGGGCTTCAGCTTTGCCTCTTGCTCCCAGCCCACTGAAGCTAGAGGCATCTCTTTGCTCAGGCAGCTACTGGCTGCTGAAGCTAACAAGCCCAAGGTCGACTAGTAAAAAGGCATGGTCCCGATGTTACCAAACCACACGGCAGGCCATTAATTCAAGTCCACTTAAGTCCCAAGGTCGGCAGAGCATGGCAGGCTACTGAATAACAACAGGGCTCCATGCAGGGTCCAAGCGTGCCATAAACTAGAGACCATTCCCCAAGGCTTCTGCTTATATACAGGAAGCAGACCACATTCCCAAAGGCAGCTACTCAGCTGCTCACAGTAGATTTCACCATGGAGCTGATTACCAGTCTTATCATGGGGAGTACTACATCCAGTTGTCCAGCCACTCAACCAGGCCCAGCCAAGTTGGCACACAAACTGAACCACCACAGACATCCTGTTGTTGTTGTTAGGTGCTGTTGAGTCATCTCTGACTCATAGCAACCCTTTGTACAGCAGAACAAAACACTGCCCAGTCCTGTGCCAGCTCCACAATCCTTGCTATACCTGAGCCCATTGTTGTAGCCACTATGTCAGTCCATCTTGTTGAGGGCCTTCTCCTTTGTCATTGACCCTCCACCTTACCAAGCATGATATCCTTCTCCAGGGAATGGTCCCTTCTTACAACATGACCGAAGTAGGTGAGATGAAGTCTGGCCATTCTCACTTCCAAGGAGCATTCTAGCTGCACAGATCTGTCAGTTCTTTTAGCAGTCCACGGTACTTGCAGCATTCTTCGCCAACACCACAAGTCAAAAGCATCTACTTTTCTTTGGTCTTCCTTATTCATTGTCCAGCTCTTGCATGCATATGAGGCAATTGAAAATACCATGGCTTGTGTCAGGTGCACCTTAGTCCTCAAGGAGATACCTTTGCTCTTCAGCACCTGAAAGACGTCTTTTGCAGCAGATTTGCCCAATGCTGTATGTCATCTGATATCCTGACTGCTGCTTCCATTGATGTTGATTGTAGAACCAAGTAATATGAAGTCTTTGACAACTTCAATCTTTTACACATTTATCATGATGCTGCTTATTGGTCCAGTTGTGAGGAATTTTGTTTTCTTTATATTGAGGTGTAATCCATACTGCAGACTGTAGTCTTTGGTCTTCATCAGTAAGTGCTCAAGTCATCCTCACTTTCAGCAAGCAAATTTGTGTCATCAGCGTATTGCTGGTTGTTAATGAGTCTTCCTCCAATCCTGATGCTACATTCTTCTTCATGATTATTCTTGTCAGATTATTTGCTCAGCATACAGATTGAATACATATGGTGAAAGGATACAATCCTGATACATTCCATTCTTGATTTTAAACCATTCAGTGTCTCCTTGTTCTGTTCAAATGACAGCCTCCTGGTCTATGTACAGGTTCCTCATGAGTACAATTAAGTGTTCTGAAATTCCCATTTTTCTCAGTGTTATCCACAATTTGTTATAATCCACACAATCGAATGCTTTTGCATAGTCAATGAAACACAAGTAAACATCTTTCTGGTATTCTTTGCTTTGAGCCAAGATCCATCTGACGTCAGTCAATGATATCTCTCCTTCCACATCCTCTTGTGAATCCAGCTTGCATTTCTGGAAGTTCTCTGTCAATATACTGCTGCAACTGGTTTTGAATTATTTTCAGTAAGATTTTACTTGCATGCGATATTAATGATATTGTTCAATAATTTCCACATTCTGTGAGATCACTTTTCTTTGGAATGGGTAAAAATATGGATCTCTTCCAGTCAGTTGTCCAGGTAGCTGTCTTCCAAATCTCTTGGCATAGCCAAGTGAGTGCCTCCAGCATGGCATCCGTTTGTTGAAACATCTCAATAGGTATTCCGTCAATTCCTGGAGCCTTATTTTTTTAACACTTCCTTCAGTGCAGCTTTGACTTCTTCCTTCCACACCATTGGTTCTTGATCATATGTCACCTCCTGAAATGGATGAACATCAACCAATTCTTTTTGGTACAGTGACTGTATATTCTCTCCATCTTCTTTTGATGTTCCCTGTATCATTCAATATATTGCCCATAGAATCTTTCAGAATTGCAACTCAAGGCTTAAATTTTTTCTTCAGTTCTTTCAACTTGAGAAATGCTGAGCATGTTCTTCCCTTTTGGCTTTCCAACTCTTTGTATATTTATTATAATAATTGACTTTATCTTCTTAAGCTACCATTTGAAATCTTCTGTTCAGCTCTTTCATCTTGTCATCTCTTGCATTTGCTTTAGCTACTTCGTTCAAGGGCAACTTTCCAAGTCTCTTCTGGCATCCACTTTTGTCTTTTCTTCCTTTCCTTTCTTTTTAATGACCTTTTGTTTTCTTCATGGATTATGATCTTGATGTCATCCCACAATTCCTCTGGTTTTCAGTCATTGGTGTTCAATGCATCAAATCTGTTCTTTAGACAGTCTCTAAATTCAGGATGTTGTTGTTGTTGTTATTTGCTGTCGAGTCAGCCCTGACTCATATGGATATATTCAAAGTCATATTTTGGCTCTTGTGGACTTGTTTTAATTCTCTTCAACTTCAAGTTGAACTTGCATATGAGCAGGTGATGGTCTCTTCCACAATCAACTCTTGGCCTTGTTTTGGCTGAAAATATTGAGCTTCTCCATCGCTTCTTGCCACAGATATAGTCAGTCTGATGCCTATGTATTCCAGCTGGCAAAGTCCATGTGTATAGTGCCATTTGTGTTGTTGAAAAAAGGCATTTACAATGAATAAATCATTGGTCTTGCAAAATTCTATCATGCAATCCCCAGCATCATTTCTGTCACCAAGGCCAAATTTTCCAACACCAGTGATTCTTCTGTGTTTCCAACTTTTGCATTCCAATCACCATTGATGATCAGCACATCTTGATTGAATGTTCAGTCAAGTTCAGACTGCAGAAGTTGGTAGAAATCTTCAATTTCCTCATCTTTGGCTTTGGTGATTGGTGTGTAAATTTGAATGATGGTAGTATTAACGGGCCTTCCTTGTAAGCATATGGATATTATCCTATCACTGACAGCATTGTACTTCAAGATAGATCTTGAAACAGTCTTTATGATGATGAATGTCACGCCATTCCTCTTTAATTTGTCATTCCTGGCATAGTAGATCATATGGTTGTGTGATTAATAATGGCCCAAACCGATCCATTTCAGCTCACTAATGCCCAGGATATCAATCTTTATGTGTTCCATTTCATTTTTGACAACATCCAATTTTCCTAGGTTCGTACTTCATACAGTCCATGTTCCAGTTATTAATGGATGTTTGCAGCTGTTTCTTCTTGTTTTGAGTTGTGCCACATCGGCAAATGGAGGTCCTGAAAGCTCTACTTTATCCACATCATTAAGGTCAGCCCTACTCTGTTGAGGCAGCTCTTTCCCAGTCGTATCTTAAGTGCCTTCCAACCTGAGGGGCTCATCTTCAGACACTATATCAGACAATGTTTCAGGGCTATTTATAAAGTTGTCCAGTAATATATCAGACAGTGCTTCACTGCTATTCATAAGGTTTTCACTGGCCAATTCTTTGAGAAGTGGATGGCCTCTTCCTTCTTCTGAGTCTGCCTCAGTCTGAAAGCTCCGCTGAAACCTGTCCACCATAGACAACCCTGCTGGCTTTTGAAACACTGGTGGCACAGCCTCCAGCCTCACAGTAACATGCAAGCCACCACAGTATGACATACTGACAGACAAGTTCCTCTCCCTTAGTTGTTCCAAACTGCTTCGCTCACTTCCTGGCCTTCCCCCTACCCATTCTGGCCATCTGCTGGCTGCCACTTCCTGCCTGGGGCTCTCCCTCTTACCTGTTCTAGCCATCTGCCCTGGCTGCTACTTCCTGGGACATCATAGGGGTTAAAATATGGGGTGTAGATGTTGTGCAAATTGTGAGCTTTACCTGAGGAGAGGGTAAAGGAAGAAGGGATGTCACCATTGGGGGATAGGGTGTCAAGAGCAAAGCCCACCAAAATTTTGAGGAGGAGCCTATAGGCGGACAGCTGGGCACCTGCATCTGGTTTTGCCAGAAGGACCAGGGCAGATATCGACTGCCTGGGGCCAGTGGTTCATGGGTTCCAGCCAGGGGCACAGGAGGTCTGAGATGGGGCAGAGCTGGGACACACCATCCACAGAGATGAGCCATGGCCAACAACTCTCTAACCAGTTGACCCTCCATCCCCAACTCACCAAGTAGAAAGTTTGTACCTCTAAAATTTTGAATGAATTCAAAATGGAAACATGTTTTGCAGCCATTGTTCTGATTTTAGCTTTGTTAGTTTTCACAAACTTAATTCCACAAAGAAGTTCTGGAACTTTCGTTGTAGGTAAGTGGGAACCAAGGGCTTATCTCAGGCTGAGTAAAAGAAGGCCACCTCATACTCAGGAGCAGGCAGGGAAGACACACTAGGAATAGGGAGCATACGTACAGGTGACTTCTTTTTGTGGTTAAAATATTTTTAAAATTTTCAAGAGAAAAGGTGGATCCAAAACTCCGCCACCATAACTGAACTGTTTTCATGAAACTTGGGCATGTGTTTCATTGAGATATTGAGGTGTTTCCAGTTGAGGGTGCCTCACTGCCCCCAGGAGACACTGGCCATGTCTGAAGACATTTGTGGCATTTGTCACAACTTGGGTAGTGCTACTGGCATCAAGTGGGTGGAGGCCAGAGATGCTGCTCAACACCCAGCGGTGCAGAGGACGGCCCCACCACAGAGAAGGATCTGGCAATGTCACTGATGCCGAGGGCGAGGAGCCTGCCCTGGAGACACCTGAACGCAGGTTTGGAGCCCCCTGGCTTCAGAAGCTGTTTTGGTCCTGGGCCAGCTCCTTCCCCTTGAGCTCGGTTTTCTTGTAGAATGTGAATGGACACGACTCTTTCTGGGTGGTCCTGAGGATCAGGTGAGGTCACTTGTGAGGTCCTTAGCTCAGTGCTGCCACATTTCGTCCACTCGCCAGCACTCATCCTTGTTATCACGTGATAGGCATTGGCCTCAACCACATTATTTCCTTAGGTTGGATTCCCAAAGGGGGTTCCTGAGAGCAGATACAGAATGTCACTGGTTGTCTGCCCCCTGTAGGGAGTGGATGGCCATTTATCCTCGCATATCACAGACATCCATGTTTCCTTCTAACCCTTTTCCCATTCCAGGTTCCAGCAGCACCTGATCTCTGAGGCAACACAGTTTGTCTCTGTCCTATAGAACACACCAGCCCCAGGGTGTCCTCAGTGACCCACTAGGACATGTCCTGGACCCAGCCAGGGCTGAGGGTTGTTGCTAAGAACGTGCCCCTCAGCTATTGAGAATAATGGGCACTTAGACGGGAGTCCACGGTGTGTCCACCTCCACCATCGCCTTGTCAGCTCAGCTTTCACAGGGATTTCCATGTGTGCCCACAGGTCTCCAACTGGTTTGGCAACAAAAGAATCCGGTACAAAAAGAACATGGGGAAATTTCAAGAAGAGGCTAGCAATTATGGGTCTAAAACAACAGTGGATGGCACCAAAGTTGGGATCCCAGGGCACCAAGCCAGTTGCCCCTTGACACCCAGCTCTGGTGAGTGAGGACCACCCCCACCCCGCTGGCACAGCCCCCACCCCCACCCCCAGCTGTGTTTCCTGCACAAGCCTCTGTCCATATTGGATGAAGATGCATCCCACTCAGCACATGTGCTGTGTGTACCCTGTGGGGACAGGAACGTCAATGCTGAGGAAGAGTGGGACCTGTGGGGCAGCGGGAGGTGACACGTGACCTGACCCTGCCCATCTCCAGACTAGCCAGACTGCCCGTGTCAGAGCTGTCTTACTGAGTCTTCCCAGCCAAGGTAGGGCAGGTTGTATCTGGGACATGGTAATGCCTCTCCTAATGCCTTCACTGTTCCAGGTTCCCCCAGCCTCTTCTCACTGACCAGTCCTGGGGATGCCTTCGTGAGCCCACAGGCATTGGCCTCCAACTATTCCCCCAAGGTGGAACCCGGCTCACAATCACAGGTAGATCAAAATCACAGTCCCCAACCACCTCATCTCCTTTGCGAGGGTCCGGCGGTGGGCAGTGTGCAGGTCCTGGGCAGTCTGTGATGTGATGACTGCCTCCAATGTGCAGTTCTGGGGGGATCTAAGGGCTGAACAAAGAGACCCCACCTCTGTAAGACCTGTCCCCTCCCACCCCAACCTGCCAAACAGAGTCTCCTGCCAGAGATGCCTACCCTCCACCATTGCTGAGCTAGGAGCCCTTTCTGACAGGCAGCATGGGAGGGCTGACAGGACGAGCCTCATTTCAGCACTGACTGCCTGGATGAGGGTCTGCCTGCCGTTTCTGAGTCCCAAGGCCTTTCTTACCCAGCCCTGTGTCTGGGCAGTTAGGAGGGCCGCTTGTGTTGACCATGCCATGGTGCCAACAAGAAGCCTTGGGCGCCCAGCATGGCCAGGACAAAGTCTCACATAATGGTGAGTGTGCCCTTCTGGGACTTTGTCTAAAATGCTGGGCTGTGCAGCACGTACCCCCATGGCCCCTGGGGCTCCCAAGTTGCCCACGAAGCCCATAGGGGCCTGGCCCTCACTGCAGGGAAGGTTAGGAATGGGATTCAGATGTCAATTGGGGGGCCTGATTGTGCCCTGTGTGCAATTTCCTGAAGACAATGTGCAGCCACAGATGTGACATGCTCACCACAGGTCTGAGGGGTGTGAGGCCTGCCTGGGTCCCTGGGGGCCTCAGAACTGCTCACTGGTACTGCTAGACCGACTCCAACTGATCTTACTCGCTGAGCCTGACTCAGGGCCATGCTTTCCACCTCTGTCTGTCCTACTGCCATAGCAACCCTGTAGGCCGTAAAGAGCAGTGGGGAGAGTGGTGCAAATGTGTGTGAGAGCAGCTTTGTGAGTGAAGCCCCAACCAGGCTGACAAGGCCCACGTGAGCCTTCTGCAGTGGGTCCAGACCTTCCCAAATAGTGAGGCCAGAGTCCAGCCACCCCTGCCATGAGCTGGCAGTGCCAGGCCCCCAGTGCTGACTCGTCCCCTTGTGTCCTGCCCTGCCCTGGCCCTGTGAGGCCTTGTCCCTCCTTGCTCACAGCTCTGTCCTACCCTGGCCAGAACCACAGCCTAGTTCTGGGGTACCCAAGAATGTCCACATCTCCAGCCACCCCTTCCCAGTCCCATGAGTGGGCACCTGCACAGAGCCAGCCCCTCTCCTCACCCACTTGTCACCTCCCTCCTGGGACACAGCCTCTGAACCTGCCATCCTGGCTTCAGATGACCATCCAGAGGGCAAGTGTGATGCCTGCTGTGGGGTGGCACTTGGCCTCCACATCACTGTCTGTGTCACAAGGGGCCGAGTGGCAGGCTGGGGCGTGAGGCCAGGACTGTGATGCCTTTGTCCCTTTCCCTCTTAGAGGTCCTGCCTGGACATGGGAATGAGGGCTGCCAGGTCTGTGGTCACCACAGCTGTACCACCCCTCATGCTGCTGTTGTTTCTTTCCAGACCAGGGGCAGTTGGTGGGGGGGCCCTCCCCCACTGCTCATCACATCACCTGCTGGAGATCTGGGAAGTGTTCACTCAGACGCATCCAGTTAAGTCTTGGGGACAGCAGAAGAGTGTCCATCATGGTCCTGGCACTGTCCCCACTCTTCATGCAGCTGATTACCTCAGATCCCAGGCCAGCCAGTGGTGGCCACCCACTCCACCTCAGCCCACAGTGCCAGCCTTGTCGCGTCCTCATCCCCATCTATCCTTTTCGTGACAGCCTGTGTGAAGTGGGCTGAGGTATTGCTCCTTTCCCAATTTGGTTTGTTTTTTTAAAATAACTTTATGGTAAGACTATGAATTGTTTCCTTTAGGACTTGTCCCACTTTTCCCATTAAGCTTTTTGACTGACTTTGATTTTGATGTGTTTTTACTACCAGAGCTGCTTAGCACAGCAGCTGGGTTGCGTCTGTTCATTCTCAGGGCATCAAACACACCAGGCACCAATTGAAGTTACCCTTTTCACAGTCTTCTGACAAAACCCGCTGCCAGGAGCTCAGGATTTTACTGAGGCTGGTCTTGCTTTTTTGTTTGTTTGTTTTAATGTTTATACAAGTCCTACCATCTCCAGTTGGAGTTTTAGCAGACAATAAACTCCCATGCCCTTTCTGTGCCCTGTGAGTAGTCACATGTCATCCATGAGGCCCTTCAGCCAGCTCCAGTGTCCCTCATCTTAGTCCCTCCTGTTCCCTCACCTAGTTCCTTCTCCCCTACTTGAGCCTTAACCTTTTGTGACTCATGAGACATACAGTGCCCACCTACTTTTTCTGCCTCTGGGATTTAGTAGGGAGCCCCTATCCCACTTTTAATGCATGCCACTATCTGATGGGGGCCTGTATAACTATATGATTCTGAAGAAACTAGCCTCATCCCACCAATCCCAGCACCAGAGACCCTTTGGGATATATGTTGTTGTTGTTGTTGTTATGTGCCATTGAATGTCCCATTAATTGTATCAGAATCCATATTACCTCTAACAAGTTTTTTTGTTTCATTCAAAATGCCTCCCATTACTGAAAATACATGGTTTCAAGAAAAATTCAAAGAAAATAGTTTGGTCTTAAAAGGATTATTAAAATGAGACCTTCTTTCTGTCTCCTCCATCCCCAAGTGAAAGGCCCCCAGCAGAACCCTGAAGAACATTTGGAGGTCCACCAAACCCTGATGGGAAATTAAGGCCCTGGTCTGGGTGCCTTCGTAGGGGTGGTTAAACCCCTCCCCAAACCAATGGCAGGCCATGTCCCTCAAGGAAAGGCAATAGTGAGGAAGGGGAGCTGGTTCCGCCCCTCCCCTACTTATTACTGAAAGTGGTGGTGGTTGTTAGGTGCCGTCAAGTCACTCTGATTCATAGCGACCCTGTCCGACAGAACAAACACTGCCCAGTGGTGCACCAGCCTCACAATCCTTGTTATATTTGAGCCCATCATTGCAGGACTGTGTCAGTGCATCTCGTTGAGGGTCTTCCCCTTGTACACTGACCCTCTACTTAATCAACCGTGATATCCTTCTCCAGGGACTGATCCCTTCTGACAACATGACCAAAGTACATGACACGAAGTCTGGCCATTCTGGCTTCTAAGGAGCATTCTGGTAGCAATCATAACTATTGGGTGCTGGCTTCATACCAGCCTTTCGTTCACCATGACCCAAAGAGGTGGCGCCCTTCATTGGTGCAACCCTCAGGTGGGGAAACTAAGGCTATAAGGTTAAAAGATGGACTGGGATAGGGCCTGGGCCTGACCCAAGAGGTCACGTTTTGTGTTTAGGGGTCTCCATGGTGACACAGGAAGGAGCTCTGGCGACAGAATAGTTAAAGCCTTCAGTTGCTAACCAGAAGACCAACAATTTGAACCCACCAGCCACTCCACAGGAGAAAGATGAGGCAGTCCACTTCTGTCAAGATTTACAGCCTGGAAATTCCATGGGGCAGTTCTACTCTGCTCTATAGGGTCACTATGAGTCAGAATTGACTCGGCAGTGGGAGGGTGGTGACGGGTTCATCCAGCGCCCCAGCACCCCTGCCCCTGCTGAGGGGGCCACCAGGAGCATTGGAGGGTGAGTGAGCAGGAGAAGGCTCTGAATGGGCAGGACAGGAGATCGACAGGTCAGTGAGGAAACAAGCGGCAGCTCCCCTTTTAGCCACCAGGGGCCGCCCCATCCCACAAACTAAGTGGAGGTGGGTCTTCTCCAGAGTCTGTTCCTGTGATCCCGGGATGCCAAGCAAACCCTGAGGGTCAGCTTCCCTGCATGTAAAGTGAGGCAATAATGGACCAGCCTCTCCAGGAGGGGGCAGTGAGGAGATATGAGGGAAGTGCTTTGTTTGGCACATCCTCAAGAGATGTACAGCCACCTGCCCAGCCTGTGGCTCGAGATGGACAGACAGACGGTGCTGAGACAGAGCCATGCGACAAGGAACATGTTTTAGGGAGATACACTTGGGTGCATTTGGGACATGCAGAACCCAGAGAATCTGGGGGACATCCAGGGGAGAGACCTAGGAGGAAGCTGGACCCCTAGGGGTGTAGTCAGGCCGCACTAACCTCTCCTCCAGGTGGCCAAGGTAGCCAGAGCTTCCTGTAGGAAATCAGCCCATTTACAGGCTGGGTATGATGGCTGTAAGGGAGTGAGTTTCCTGTCATCAGGGCATGTAATCAGACGAGTCCAACAGCAGCTGGGCCAGGGGCCCAAGCAGAGAGGCCCAATTCTGCAAAGACACACCAGGAGGCCTGATGGCAGGGGATTGAGGGTGGTACCACCTGGCAGCCAGATACCTTGGACAACAGGTTCCAAAGGGCTAGAGAAAGGACATTCCTCAGCTCTGGGCGCCAGGCGAGCCACTCCCTCCTGGTGAAACGTAAGCTGGGCCTGGCCCCGTGAGTTGTGCGTTTTTCCAGTGGCTCCTTCAGCCACGGCCTGACCGCAACCCAAATTCCACTGGGTCGGCAATTTCCAAGCGTTTGTGTTCAGATGGGCCAGACGGCGGGCAGGCAGGGGCCCAGGCCAGGGGCCTAGGCCTCCCAGAAGGCCTGGTGAAGTACCTACCCT